ATGCAAAACGCGAGGCCCTGCATGAGTACCACGTCAAGATTCTTGCAGCTAATCTTCCTAAATTACAGCAAGAATGACTAAGTCAGCAATTCTCACCTCTGGAATTTGCGTTAAAGATCCACACCTGAGACAGGATGGCACTCCAAGGGGTTCTGGACCTGTGAATCGCTGGGGCTGCCATGGAGGTATCATTTTATTAATACTGGCATTTTCAGATCATTTCACTAACTGCCTAAAGGGAAAATACTTTAAAATGTCTACTTAAAAATAATTTGCAAGTAGTTTTTATTATCAGACATTAATTTCAAAATGTATCTAAGGGCCTGAAGTACTGAAACATTTAATGAGGGTTTAGAGATGTTAATAAAATGTAATAGGCGCGTATTAATCAGTGCAAGACACTCTTGTGAATTGACTGGATGGTTTGGGTCTTGAAATGCGCTTGAACTTTCCTATGAAGCTAATAAGTATGATTACAGTTGTAAAAACACCTCCACAGAGCAAGTGTTTTACTACTCAGGACAGGATCATCAACCACCTGTACATAGTTTATGCAGAAGAAAAAAGCTCAGAAGTTAATGCAGAGGGTCATGAAATTGAGGGCAGTTTGCATGCACCCTTTAACTGCATTTTATAGTGTCATTTCTATCATCCTTATTGCCAGATACTTGCGTCACAGCAGCACCTAGAGGCTAGGGCTACGCAGACATGAAACGGAAAGATCTTGATCCTGATTTTTGTGTGAAGGTTATGTCTATGCCTACCTGTATAAAACTTGCATTGAGTTCTAGTGGAGCATTCTAACTGCCCTTATGCATGTGGGGTGGCATCCAGGGACCTGCTGTAAAGCCTCTGAACCTCAATGGGAAATGCTGCAATGGGGTGTTGGAACCAAGCCACTATCAAAGAGGTAAATTTGAGCCATTTTGGTGATCATGCAGATTTTTAAAATCTAGTGTGCTCTTTTGAACTTGATGGTGATGCTCTCTAGTGGACAAGTTTGAAAAAAATCTGTTAGCGTGAGCTTCTGAAAGATGCCTAGAAAAACTCTGGTAGCAAACAGAAAAAGAAAAGATCCCTAAAATAAGTGAGCAAATTAAGAAAACTCAGAATGAAAAAAATATTTTTGGAAGAGCCACAAAAGCAATAAGGGACTGGGAAAAAGTATTAGAACCCGTTTATGTTTCGGTCTCCTTCTTGTGTTTTTAGCTTGTAAGTATTAAGGAAGCATTGAGATACATCATATGTGTTTGGTTATAGATGTGCAGGCATGAATATGAGACAAGGTTGAGTTGTAATTTTGGAAGTTAATTGCTGAAAAATCTCTCAGCTTACTCTGAGAGTAAGTAAATACTTAGTTGGTATTTACTACTACACTCAGCTTAGTGGCTTCTCCTAGGTAATGTATTTCTTGTTAAAGGAAAAAGCACGGCAGAGTTTTTAATGAGTATCACAACTATTACTGTTAATCCTAGACCATTTTCTCATGAGGCGCAAGTTCATACTACCACCTAGTGCAATTCATGTTTCAATGCATCAGCATTACACAGTGTGATGTCTTTATTATTAATGAATTCCTCTGAATAATTAATCTAACTGATGTACTTATTGAAATAACTCTATATTAATGGAAGAAACAGAACATGGTTGTTCTTCTGCCTCTAAGCCCTCTGTAAATAGTACACTGACGTCCATGCTTTATCTGCCTATTTTCTCACACATGTATAGTAATTTCAAGATAGTAAC